CGCAGTAGAAACGGACCGCCAAACATCTGTCCCGTAACCGTAAACGAGCCAACGAACCACATCGCGCTATCTTCGCCATTGTTCGCCATCTCCGCGACGACCGGAAGTGGAAGCCGCGAACTTAGAAAAGCCGTGGCAGCGGAAGCACCGAAGCCACTGGGCGGAAGCCTTAAGTTTCGGTTTCAGTTTCGGTTTTCTCCAACGCCGGCTACGGTCGCTACGGTTGCGGGCTGGTGAGTTTGTGGCTGGTTGCGAGGACGCGAGGGGCCACGAAAAGACGCCGAGTTTGCCGAGTACGAGCAACGGGCCGTTTGCCGCTGTCGACCGGCGATGCGGTATCCGCGGCTTGGTGTTACGATCGGTTTCTTGCCGTGCACGTTAACTCAAAGCTCGAAGTTCCGCAGTTCCGTTCCGGCACCAGCCGCACCACGTTTTCCGGTGCATCGCACGTGGAGTTTTTTCGACGCATTCAGTGAAAGTAAAGATCGTGTCCGCTGTCTTCGGTGCTGTGGAAGAAGTTGCGAGACGGAAGAAGCATCAAAACCAAGGCGTTTAGGACTCCAGGCCGGGCCGCCGGTTCACTCTGAACGAGAGGCGACGTGTGTGCCCACGCTTTGAGGAAGCCTCCGCGTTTCGCCGCGCCAGACCTCGCCGATCGCGACAGGACCAACCGGACCCCGAGTCCGAGAGGCTCTTGCGCAGCCAGGAACGGCACCGAAGTAGGAGCTGCTCGTTCTGCGCTACCATGCAGTGCTCTACAGTGCTCGGAGCTCTCGGGTGTCATTCGTGCTTGCACTGAAGCCATTGTGACCCCTTCGGACGCGCAAGTCGTACTTCGCAAAGGTTTGGACGGGGCCGCCCTCACCGAGCAGCTCCGCTATATTCCGCTTACTTATGATCGCAACAAAAGCTTGCGTTTGTTCTCGGGAAAAAAAATTGCGGGACCGCTCTCCGCGCCGCTGACGAGGTTGGCCGCCGCCATGTTCTCAGCTGTTCACTCGCTCCTGCAGCGAGCGCCTTGCGATTATCCTTCCCGTTCCAAAATGCGATGCGCTTTGCGCATTATGCCGTTTACATGATCATATATTGAATGCGGCAACTGGATTCAATGCGACTAAGTCGCATTCATGTAAACGCGGCTTATGTTCTTTTTCGACATACATGGTGTATGTACGATACCGGTGGTGAACGATGGACGTTTTTGGTGGAAGATGGCGGTCGTCTTTCTGCATGTATGATTTAGTTATAACGGTGGTCCTGTGGTGTAAGCGTTTTGTTGGAAAGAAGGCGGTCGCCTACGTCATCGGACGCAAAATCATACCAGCCACACGGAATCATATCGGAAAGCAAACTGGCTGCCAGTATAGACAGACCCGGAGCCATAGCGGTGCCGGTATCTCCAGTTATGCAGAACGCCAAACCAAACTAGCTGCATACATAATACCAAGAAATTATGGTGGTGTCATACCAGAATTGTAAAAGCGGCAGGTTTGTTTCTTGTACGTTTTTCCAATAGGGAACATTGTGGTTGGAGCCGTTTGATCTACTGCGCTATATATAGACCAGTGTCCGCGCCAATTCCAGGGCGCCGCCATGTTTATCTACGCTCGCGCCACCACGCGGAGAGAACTGGCAGGCAGGAGGGGGGGGGGGGCTGCGTTGGCGGCGTTGCTTTGGGGAGCTGGATGCGGCAGGCTGTCCGAATTCACCGGCACATCGTGAACGATGTCTTCACCAGAAGCCTCCGCGACCCGTTCTTCAAGAGATAAGATGTCGTGAACATTCGAGAACCCATCTAGATCAAGAAAACAAGAGAAAACCTTTCTTGTCTTAAATGTTCTCGGTGTCTGCTGACCCCTGACATCCGCGTTTCAGTCCGGGTTCATTGCGTAGTAAATATTTCGCTACCGCTTTCTTGTAGCTTTCAAATGCTTGATTGTTGGCTTCTTGTATACGACATTACATTCGTGGCACGTTTGAGACCGATTTTCGCGATCTGCTTGCCTTTCTGCGGCAGCGCGGCTCTGCCGAGCCTAAATAAGTGGGAGGCGTTCACTTGATCAAACGCCGTTTTAGCGAATGAAAACGAGACCACGACGTTTCATCGAATGACTAGCGAATGGGTCTAGTTACATAGACAGCTCGGATTAGCTTTCCTTTGTAATGTGGCGCCTTGTCTGCCGCTGCGAAGCGGCGTAAACGAGGGCTCCGAGTATGTTGGCACGCGTCCCCCCCCCCCTTCCCCCCCTCCCCCCCCCACACACACACACAAACACACACTGCGAGCGTCTGGGTTTGAAACTATTAATTACCAGTTCTAAAGGATGGTACTTACTTGAAGTGGGAGCTGGAATTCTACGAGGTACCAGGAGACACTTACTATCGGGCAACGAAGCACGGTGCCTGTGGGGGCGGAGTCTAGGAACGCTACTGATTAATATTGTGACAGGCGATCAGTTATGATAACAGACGGAACTTCGACTCGTTTGTTCAGAAGTTCGCGGTGATATTTTATTAGCCCTCGTTACAGCACACCAAGGATCTTAGGCAGTGAAATTCACATCACGCAGGCTCGTCCGTCGTAGTCAAATGAGCGCAGTCGACGATGAGGTGTAATGAGCTACTAAGCTTCACAAGGAAAATGCGCGTGAGAAAGAGTTTTGAGGAAGTCCAAAACACCGATCCAGCAGACGCACGTACGTACGTTTACTCCGGACTTCATGAACCCGACGGCGCAAGATCAAAGAGCACCGCCGCCATCGCCACCCGGTTTTCTCTGCACTTTGCGCGACGACGGCACTGCAACGGAGGGCACTCGCCTCGGCGTTAACAATCCGCGAAATAGATTAATTTCCCACTCTTGAAGCCATTCCAAATGATACATGAAAATACCTCGGCGTTGTTGAACATCTCTGACGACACAACCAACACAACTGTGCCGCTGGCTGCGTGAGCCAGACACAACTGTGCCGAGCGCCTGCTTGGCACCGTTGTTTCTCGTGAAGGCCTGCTTATTTGTAGTTGAGACGATGATTCCACAGTTTTCGTGGTGCTTGCAATAACTTCGAAGGGCAGGGGAACCTTCTCACGTGGACGTTGAAGACACTCAACACCGCAGCCACCAAAGCAATCGCACGAACCGTCGCCATGTTTGCATCTTCTTCGTCACTCGCGGCGCGGTCAACTCGTCGCGACATGTTTTCTGGCTCGGCTAGATGGAAACCAACAGCGGCAAAGTGGCGTATGAACACACGGCTCTCACATTACGGGCACTATACTCACATACAGCGGTAAACAGGACCGATGCGGGCGAAACGGCAGTCGGCACACCATCGAAGAAGCCCTCAACGGGAAGCGGCGGGCCAGGCCGACGCAGCCCCCCCTCCCCGTGAGCGTCTGGGTTCGAGATTATTGTTCGCTTTTGCTCCTTGCGGTAGAGGCTAAAAAGAGCACTTCCGGACAAAGGTCTATATAGAGAGAGAGAGTAAAGCTATACGCACTCCGGAGTGCACTTCGGACGGAAATGGCTATACGCACTCCTCCGAGAGATCATGCCGCTCGGGCCACCCTTTTAGAACGGCGCGTGTATCACTGGGGAGCTCGTTAACACAGCCCCCGCCTGCGTTCACGCCGCTTCGCGGCGACAGTATCGGCTGCTAATTACAAATCGTAACCAGTACACGCCGCTTCGCGGCGTCCAGCCGGCAATCCAAGCCCCGCTGTCCCCGATCGCACCTCGAAAGGGAGTCCCATACCATTTAGTTTTGCGAGTTTCTCAACAACATTCAATTTTTTTTTTTACTGTTTATCGCAAAAAAAAAAAAGAAATGTCCTAAATATTGCCAAATGCGTCGACAAAACAAAATGTTTGAGAAAAAAAAAAAAAGAAAAAAAAGCAGGCCCACTGCGGACGGAACCCGCGTCCACTTGCGTATGAAGCGGACACCTTGACCCCTATGCCATGCCTCTGCTTAGAAAATTCGTCGTGACCACTCGTTTTATGCGAGAAAAGCGGAGTGCGTATAGCCATTTCCGTCCGAAGTGCATTCCGGAGTGCGTATAGCTTTACTCATATATATATATATATATATTTATTTACTTATTTGGACACACAAAATAGACGGGCACTAATTTACTTCACTAACATGCTCACATACTTTCCACTTGTCATGATTTTTGTGTGGGCTTTGCCCGATGATGCTAGTGAGTCATTCTCATTTCAAGTAAAGTGTCCAAACCATTTTGCACGCATGTTCGGACTCTCGGGATTTGCAGAAACTGGGAGTCTGCAACGCCTGCTGTCCTTGTCTTTTTTTCTCCAGCTCATCTTTTTTCCTTGTGCAACAGCGGACTGTCGCACAAGAGCGACATCTTTTTCATGCGTGGTGTCACCTAAACCGTAGAATGCTCGCTTCATAGTGTGGCCCGTGAGGCTGTGCGCTTTCCGCTGTCTGCCTTCACGAACACAAATACGGTTATGTACCCAGAGTGCACCGCTCGCTAGCCTTGCGTGAGTACACTCTATATGGTATATGTTGTTCAAAGTACCTTTATGCATAGCTGATCCAACCTGCATTCTCTTTTGCCATTGCCGGTAGTAAATTCTGTCTGTTTAGTATTGCACACCTGCCAACTTCCCCGTATTACCCAGAAGTCTCTTAAATTTTGATCAGTTTGTATGATTGACAGAAAAACCTCCCGAAAAGAGAAATTACCCTCCCCCTCTCTTTTGTACTGAAGAGGAGTTTTTGCCATCACTGTGGACGGCTGCAATCCCATGAGCATAGGCAGTGCAATATATAAATATAATGAAGTTGTCTTCATGCAAATTTGTCCTCAATATTTCTTTTTAAAACACCCCCCCCCCCCTCCCCTGCTTAGAAATTATCCCGAATTTGGTGTCCCCAAACTTGGAAGGTATGGTACTGTCTGTGCCTTTTCTGTCTTGTGTCATTTATGTAACGTAATATATCTGTTCTTCATATTTATAATCGCTGCAGGCCTGGTCAAGGAGGAGTTGCTCAGTGAACTACTAGTTTGAGTTCCCTGAGACGGACACCACTGACATCACCTACAGTGCTGAGGTACAGGCTTAATGGCAGATATCAATAGGAGATGATGGTAAGCTGTCCTATTTATTTAGCAGTGTCGGAGTAACTCACTTGAGTTTTCATCACTGTTTTCGCTGGCAGTTTGTTGCCTGCACACAAAAATGGTCCATTAATTGTCCATGTCCATTAAAATTGATGCAGCCTTCACACTTCTGCGGTTTAGAGCGATTCGCAGACATATGTCGATCATAGTCGAAACAGCGTGGCTCATCATTAGAGTTGAATGCTGAGTTTCGCTTGGCAACTTTTTGGCCACTTCGATCACTACAAAACATTATTTGCCTTCTCAGGTTCGCGTCACGTCTGTTTGATTGGACAGCCACCAAGTTGACTTGGATGTCAGCGCCTGTTGTCATCAGAACCTGGTTCTTGTGCTGCCACATCTTTTTTGGTGGTGGCGCTGTTGTCACCTCCCAACGCTTGCGCTCCCCGAGTTCCCATTCAAGATGGTGAGTGGTATACTTGTGGGGGCCTCGCTGCTGCAGGTGCTGCCATGTAGCTCTCGCTCGTGGTGGCTCCACCGCCATCATTTGTGCTCCCTGTGATCCCAGCCGGAGTGGTGACAGGGATTATGCAAGGGCTCTTTGTCGCAGGTGCTGCCACGGACTTTGGCTCGTGGGGGTGCCGTCGCTACTGAGAAAGCCTGTGCTCCCCGTCGTCCCTGTTGAAATGGCGGCTGGAACTTGGAGAGAGTTTGCTGCCACAGCCGGTCAGTTCAAGTTCTGCACATTCTGCCGTAGCCCTTGAGAATTCGTTCCTTCCATGTTGAGGTTCTAGTAGGAGAAGTCCACCGCTGTTGAGCTACATGTCACCACAGCAGTCAATCTGCAGAGGGGCATGGCCACATGACCACACTTCTGAAATGTTAGAGCCTTGTTCTGGACATGGAGGCCGGTGTGAGAGATTTAATATGCGTCTGGCACATCTGCCCGGCGAAAGAACTCATGGGTGTGCCACATGGAAAGTGAGCAGACTATGCAAGTCTCTTTTACAAAATGGCGCTAACAATAGGTAGTGTCTGAATCATTCTTGTATTAAGTAGGTGATACTTTCTAGGCGTAATGTGTTAGTAGATAGCTGTGGTGTTATTGCTTAACTCTGAGCAAGATACAAAGTATGAGAGATTTTCAGGCCAAGTAAAAAATTTCTGCTCACTTTAATCTTGAAGATCATTAGAGTTTCACATCACCCAGCAATCCTGAAGGCGACGCACCACATGTAATTATAATTAATATTCCCGCTCTTAGTTTACCAGGAAGGTGTTCAAAAAATTGTAAGTAGTGTTAGTTGCTTAGGAGAGCGATGTGTTGCACCTTGGCGTTCCATTCACTTTGGGATGAGGTGCTTCATTCTTGTGCGTCCTTGGTTGTTTCCTTAGCCCCTAAAGATGTTGGAGATTTATATGTTTTATTTTTGGGGAAACCATGTTATGTTAGTATCTGGCATGCTTTTTTTTTATTGCTGAAAGCTGTTTGGAGTGAGCCTTTTGTCCACCTAAGAGCATAATGATTGGGAGCTTCACTCAGCCCTATTGGAAAAACGTACAAGAAACAAACCTGCCGCTTTTACAATTCTGGTATGACACCACCATAATTACTTGGTATTATGTATGCAGCTAGTTTGGTTTGGCGTTCTGCATAACTGGAGATACCGGCACCGCTATGGCTCCGGGTCTGTCTATATTGGCAGCCAGTTTGCTTGCCGACATGATTCCGTGTGGCTGGTATGATTTTGCGTCCGATGACGTAGGCGACCGCCTTCTTTCCAACAAAACGCTTACACCACAGGACCACCGTTATAACTAAATCATACATGCAGAAAGACGACCGCCATCTTCCAACAAAAACGTCCATCGTTCACCACCGGTATCGTACATACACCATGTATGTCGAAAAAGAACATAAGCCGCGTTTACATGAATGCGACTTAGTCGCATTGAATCCAGTTGCCGCATTCAATATATGGTCATGTAAACGGCATAATGCGCAAAGCGCATCGCATTTTGGAACGGGAAGGATAATCGCAAGGCGCTCGCTGCGGGAGCGAGTGAACAGCTGAGAACATGGCGGCGGCCAACCTCGTTGGCGGCGCGGAGAGCGGTCCCGCAATTTTTTTTTTCCCGAGAACAAACGCAAGCTTTTGTTGCGATCATAAGCAAGCGGAATATAGCGGAGCTGCTCGGTGAGGGCGGCCCGTCCAAACCTTTGCGAAGTACGACTTGCGCTTCCGAAGGGGTCACAATGACTTCAGTGCAAGCACGAATGACACCGAGAGCTCCGAGCACTGTAGAGCACTGCATGGTAGCGCAGAACGAGCAGCTCCTACTTCGGTGCCGTTCCTGGCTGCGCAAGAGCCTCTCGGACTCGGGGTCCGGTTGGTCCGGTCGCGATCGGCGAGGTCTGGCGCGGCGAAACGCGGAGGCTTCCTCAAAGCGTGCGCACACACGTCGCCTCTCGTTCAGAGTGAACCGGCGGCCCGGCCTGGAGTCCTAAACGCCTTGGTTTTGATGCTTCTGCCGTCTCGCAACTTCTTCCACAGCACCGAAGACAGCGGACACGATCTTTACTTTCACTGAATGCGTCGAAAGGACTCTACGTGCGATGCACCGGAAAACGTGGTGCGGCTGGTGCCGGAACGGAACTGCGGAACTTCGAGCTTTGAGTTAACGTGCACGGCAAGAAACCGTTCGTAACACCAAGCCGCGGATACCGCATCGCCGGTCGACAGCGGCAAACGGCCCGTTGCTCGTACTCGGCAAACTCGGCGTCTTTTCGTGGCCCCTCGCGTCCTCGCAACCAGCCACAAACTCACCAGCCCGCAACCGTAGCGACCGTAGCCGGCGTTGGAGAAAACCGAAACCGAAACTTAAGGCTTCCGCCCAGTGGCTTCGGTGCTTCCGCTGCCGCGGCTTTTCTAACTTCGCGGCTTCCACTTCCGGTCGTCGCGGAGATGGCGAACAATGGTGAAGATAGCGCGATGTGGTTCGTTGGCTCGTTTACGGTTACGGGACAGATGTTTTGCGGTCCGTTTCTACTGCGTCTCTGGTTCTAAACTCGACGGCGCCTCTCATAGTTCAAACAGGTGTGGTCGGCCTGGGTCAGCGCGGTCGGCTCGCCTCGTCCGATCTGCGGACCGCCGGCGACTTCCGAGTTCTTTAGGCCTGGGATCCGAAGGCGTCTGTCTCCGTGAAACGGTAAGCGAATCTCGTCCCGTTTTCGTTCTACTTTTAAATTACGTTTGGTGCTCTACAGTGTAAGCATGCGTGCCAAGTGTTCGTGAGAATTTTGAACTAGAATAATTGTGCTTCATTGCGGTTTGTCATTTACCGCAAATGTAAATCGAGCAATGAACGAGGAGTAAATCGAGCAATGAACGAGGAGCCATGCTTGAAAACGATGTATGTACGATGTTAACTTCTACCTGTGCGGCTTTAAAGAAAGTCAAGACTGGTTACGGTTGGATGCGAGGCTGGTCCCAATGCAATGTTAAGCACTTAGAGCGCCTTTCTGAACGGCATGTAAGCAATATAGCGATCAACGAGACGAGCGACGGCGAGAAGCTACGAGTGCCGGCGCCGAGCGACGAAGATTTCTCACTCCCGCTGCTTGCGCCGCTCGGTTCTTGGGCTTCTAGAAAACGTCGCTCATCGCCTTGGTCGCTCGCACCAATCGCTTTCATAATGTGTGTATCGTCGCGCGGCCGTGTTTATTCGAATATAAGTCGACCTTTTTTTTTTTTCTTTTTTTTTTTTTCGGAAATTGTGACTAAAGAATTTCGACACCTGCATTCGCGACCAAATTTTGCAACCCTACCGGAAGCATGAAGCTATCGAGTCACCGAGCCGGCGTTGCCGTAGAGCCGCGCCGCTTCTTGTTTCAAAAAGCTTTTGGTAACCGAAATGGCTCGCCGCCCGCGGTGGCCCGTGCCGCTCCTCGGGCGTCGGATTTCGACATCACGCCTCTAGCGTTCCCCTTGCTGGGCAACGGGGAAGGAGAGGAACGCGATGCGCCACGCACTTTACCCTCCATCCTTGCAAACGCGCACAAAAAAAAAAAGAAGAAAAAAAAGAAAAAGTTACTTTTGTTAGTTGCTTGAGGCGGCTCGGCTCGCGTGTTGCTCATGGCGACACGGTGGCTTTGCTTGCGTCTTTGTAGTTTGTCTTCCGTCGCTTCGCACCTTCTTTCGTTTCCTGTCGTCATTTTACAACGGTGTCAGTGAAGTATTGCTGCGAATATGCGAGGATGTCTACCCAGCTGAAGAAGCTTCGGACGACGATGACGTGTCCAGAAGTTCTGACGGTGATGAAGTTTTTAGCATCGCCCCGTGATTTAGCTGAGAGTGATGTAAATAAAGGTTTGTTTCTTTCTTTTGCCCAAAATTTCCCCTGTTCTTAAAAATAAAAATAAAAAAGTCGACCTATATTTGAATTTTTTTTTTATTCTCTATGGACCCAGTAAATAGGGTTCGACCTATTTTCGAGTAAATACGGTAACTTTAATTTTTATTTTGGTTTACGTCGGACGCAACTCGAATGCTTGACAGTTACGTTGGGCGTAACTTTAATTTTTATTTCGGGTTCCGTCGGACGTAACGTTAGACACTCCGTTACAATTAAGGAAAATAGGGGCTGCTGGTTCATCATATAAACCAACCATTTGTGTTTAATTAAAATGCATCACTGACCTAAAAAAAAAAAAAGATACTGCTATCCTAGAGTTTATGCTATAGGAATGTGGCGCTTCAGATAAATTTGTTAATTTTTACTTTTAGTCCCTGCCCCCTCCAGATACCACATCTGGCCTAAAGCAGTGTTCCGGATCTCCTTCCAAGACCTCAGGCGGGTCGTCATTCAATCCATGAGTCGGCGGCGTCTCATGGGCGTGTTGCTGTTGCTTACTGGATGGTGCTACCGAGGGAAAAGTGGTCATGCTTGGGAAAGGCAAGTATGGCCGCCGTAAGTATACATATTGTCTTTACCTTTGCTGGAATCCACTTTTAAGAAATGCACAG